CTGCTTCAAGAGCATTACATAGGTCTTTTGCACTTTTGAACTCATAGTATATGTCATAAAGGTTGTCCGCAAGTACACTAAGAATCCTATGACAACAATGATAATTGATTTCTTCTGGTTTCATAGAGTTAGAAAAGGAGCTAGCACCAGAACCAGAAGTGAAAGGAGCAGGCTGTTCAGGATCAGGAGTCAAAGGTTGAGAACCACTAGCAGAAGACTCAGGAGTGTCAATAGCAGATAATAGACCTAAGGTAGTGAGTCAGTATCTCATCTGATTAGCCCACCATTTATAGTTGACACGGGTGAACTTCTCAGGTTTGACACCTTTTGAATGATCAGGAATTACCATAAGTCCAATTTGAGTTTACTAGTCTAGGTAGATGGAATCTGAATGGGTAAAGAATTTTGTCAATACTACTAGACCAGAAACTTAATTAAACCTGCTCTTAACCAAAAACTCTGAAAGTGAAAAGATTAAAGTTTTACTCAGGTAGTTTGGTCAGGTAAGGATAGTACTAGAGGTTGATCAAAGATCTATTAAGTACCTCATTTCTTGCAGAGCGCTTTACGCAACCCTTAAACATTACCTTAGACACCAACTAATCCAAGAAAACTTGAACCACCTCACTTAAAGATTTTTTTGTTTCTGGCAGATACAGAAATTGAGTACAGAAGCAGCAAAATAATTTTTTTATCTACTAATTTAGATGCAAAATTAGTTAACAAATTAAAACAGTTAATTATAGGTTAAAAATATAGATTTAAATTAACAGCAAAATTATCCTCTATCTTCTAGATTGCTGCTAAAAATTAAAACAATTATTATAAGACTAAAAATAAAAGAGTTAGAACACCAGGCCTGAACGGGTGCAGTCATGAATCACTGCCCTAGAAGATAGAGGACCCGTCTTTCTCCCTGACGCAGTCGATCCTCACCCCCTAGCGGTAAAAGCCCCCGGAAACGGTCGGTCTTTGTACTCGAGCGCGAGTAGCAGAGCTTCTGCTCAGACGAAGATGGTTGCCCGAAATATAAGTAAATAGTAACTGAGAAAATTTTGAGGAAAAGCGTAGCTCTCGGAATTTTGAGGGAAAGTTCTCACTTCTTCTTGTTGCTGTGTTTCTTCCGAATGAGCTTCAGCTCTTTATATAGCCCTTGCTCTTCTTAACCGTCGCTGGTAGTCCGCAGACGTTACACAGAAATCCCGCGTCCGTTATACGTTTCCATAACTCCCGCAACCGTTACAAACTTATGTAAAACGTGCAAAAAATAAAACTTGAGAGGCAAAAAACTCTTGTGAGTGCGGCGTGGCGTAGTGCGCGCGTCGTGGCGTGGCGTGGCGTGCGCGCGTGCGTGTGTGGAGCAACAGCCCAAACAACACTAGGCCCAAAACACTAACTCAAAGCCCATTAAGATGTGAACCATTATAAACTTCTTGAACTTCTTCTCATTTTCCAATGTGGGACTATTCACAAAGGCAAAATTACCTTTTCATGAACCAAAAGTCCAACATGAAATGTGTACATATGAATAATATCAACATATGTATGTCTGATTAGCTTCAGAACAGTCATATACCATGTTGGAAATTATAATCTACTTGAAGGCAATGTAAAACTTTGTATAATACTAATTTAAATGAATCTTGTGTACTGAAAATCCTAGTGTCAGATATCTTTGTCATGGTTACTATCATGGTGGGTATCTTAATGTCAAAAATCTCATGTCAACATCATAAGTCAAAAATATTGTCTTAGGCTATAACTTATTATTTTCATGGTGGAAATGAAAAGGAGAAATTACGATGTAATTAGAGTGCTAAATTGCTAAATATGGAAAGGAGAAATTACTCTTTTTCTATCCACACTGGAAGTATTAACTCATGACCATTGGATGAAGTTTGTGAGGATAGCTTCGAATTTTGTTGAAGAAGGAGAACAGAGTTTTATTTTCAAAATTTCAATAGTTTTTTTTATGTATTTAATGGAGCAGAACGTGGGTTTGCAAGTGGGTTGTGGGAAGTCTCGATAAAGTGTAGGGAGATGAGGTGGAAAATTTTGGAACAATCTTATTAGGACAAATTTTGAAAATCGACCTTTTCTCAAATTTAATAGGCAAAACCGACCGTCTAACAAAATATTTGGGAAAATCGACTTTTTTTTGCACGGGACTGCTAGTCCCGTGCAAAAAAAGGTCGATTTTCCAAATCCACTCACTCGTTGCTGGTGGCGCGACGGCTTGGGGTGGGGGATCCGAGCTTAGGTGGAGCTCGAAGAGGCGCGGTGAAGGGGGAGGCAGGGCTGATGGCGTGCGGAGCTGGTGCTGGTGGTGCTGAGGAGGAGACGAGGGAGAGGGCTAGAGGAGGTTGGGCGGTGCGGAGGGGCTCATGGCGGAGCTCGGGGGCGATTGAGAAGGTGAGGCCGTCGGAGGAGGTGGCGACGGGCGGGTCTGGTGAGCTTGGCGGTTGATGAGAGAGATGAGGAGAAGGAGCTGAGGGAGAGGGAGAGGGAGAGGGGAGGGGGGGACGTGTGAGTTGTTTGGAAAAACGACCTTTTTTTGCACGGGACTAGCAGTCCCGTGCAAAAAAAGGTTGTTTTTATTAAATATTTTGTTAGAAGGTCGGTTTTGCCTATTAAATTTGAGAAAAGGTCGATTTTCAAAATTTGTCCATCTTATTATTCCAGCATAGAATTACTGTTCATCAAAGCATTTTTTTAATTGTTCTCCTTTAGTTAAAAGAATTAGTTAATTTGGAGGGTAAAATTATAATTTTGTAAGAAAATTTTTTCCCTTTCCTTTATTTTCGTTCTTATTTCTAGAAGATTCTAAATCATGACATGAGAATAGGATTTGGACTCACATAATTAATATTGTAATTTTTAAAGAGAAATTTTTATTTTCTTTCTTCTAATTTCTCAAGAGAAACATTTATTTTCTTTTCTTTTTTTCCTTTTTTACTTCTAGAACATTCTAAATCATAAAATGATAATACACACATAATTAAATTGCAATTCCACATTTTTCTATTTTTTATTTTAGCGACTTACTCTAATTATTTTATCCTTAATTATGGAGCTACTCAACAAGTTGTAGTAAGGATAGATTTAAGTGATAAGTAATAGTTTAAGATACATTTTCTATGTAGGGATCCATAGTATAATTGCATAAATTAAATTATTACCAAACTATTAAATGAAAATGTAAGACTAGTCGTATAGCTGAACATTTTTGCGCAGCAATATGCTTGTATATCGAAAAAACCCCAGAAAAAAAATGTGTAGGCCTACTTTTGTTCATAGTCCAAACAACTAAAGAGTGTGTTTGGTTTGAGGGGAATAGGGAAAGTCTATGGTAGGGCTTTAACTTTGTTTGTGAATCAAATTGGGCGAGATAGTGCGGAAGAAGTGAAGGTAAAAGAGGGGAGAAAAACTCATTTTTCTTCCCCCAACCTCAAAATTGGGGTGTAACTAGGGTGAAGATAAAGGAGACGAGCAAATCAATTGTAGAGAGACCAATTTATCTCCTATTAAGAACATAACTTAATAACATACAAGAATATTAATGTAATTTTATTTATAGACCCTTGTCTTCCCTCCACTTTATTGCACTTTCCAAACGGGGTTAAATGTGATGCCCTTAATTTCCCTTATTAATTCCCAAATAAATTTTACATGTTACCTTCACTTGACCAGTGCTAGGTTCCCTAAACTTCCCTTCACTTACCTCCAAATCCAAACAAGCCCTAATGGTGTGTTTGGGAGTTTACTAAGGGAAGGGAAGGAAAGGTAAACAACGGGAAGGGAAGGGAAAGGAAGGGAAGAGAATTGTAATATGTTGTTTGAAAGTTGAGTAATGTGAATGAAGGTGAAAGGAAGTAAATATATGTAAATTTACATAAATGACTTTATACTAATAACACATCAGCCCTTTTATTTGTTTTGATGGGGGTAAGAATATCATTACACCCTTTTACCCTCCTTTATCCTCCTCTACCGCCCAAATTAGGGGGAAAAGAAAACCAAACAATTTTACCATCCTTTCTCCTTCCTTCCTCCTCTCTACCCTCCTTAAAAAAAACTCCCAAACAAGGTGAATGCCTCATTTCTCTTCCCCTCCCCCTCTCTACCCTCCATCCAAACAAGGCATTAAGGGCTTGTTTGGATTGAGGGGAATGAGGGTGAAGGGAAGTTAGGGGAACCATTCACCTCCATTCACCTTGTTTGAGAACACTTGGGGCTTGTTTGGATTGAGGGGAATGAGGGTGAAGGGAAGTTAGGGGAACCATTCACCTCCATTCATCTTGTTTGGGAACACTTAGGAGGTGAAGTTAATTCACCCTAGTTCCCCTTGGTTCACCCTCTAATAGTATAAAATTTGTTACCCTCAAATTGGGGTGTAAGAGCATCTCCAACAGCTTTTCCAAAATTTTCTCTAAAATGGGGAAGCAAAAGTCATATTCTCCAACTAATTTTTACACCAACTCCAACAGCTTCCCCATTTTGAAGAATCCATTTTTTTCTCCAAAATTTTGGAGAATGCTGCAGATTTGGGGAAGCTTCCCCATTTTTTCTCCTCCATCCATATTTTAGGGAATGAGATAGGAAATCTGTTGGGCCAAAAACCTAACTAAATTCTCCAAAAGTGAGAACCCTTCCCTTCCCTTCCATTCTCTCTGTTTCCCTTAACTTCCCTTCACCCCCTACAAATCCAAACAGGCCCTTAGGAGGTGAAGTTAATTCACCCTAGTTCCCCTTGGTTCACCCCCTAATAGTATAAAAATTGTTACCGGTGAAGTTAATTCACCCTAGTTCCCCTTGGTTCACCCCCTAATAGTATAAAAATTGTTACCCCCAAATTAGGGTGTAACCAACACCCTAGTTCCCCTTGGTTCACCCCCTAATAGTATAAAAATTGTTACCCCCAAATTAGGGTGTAACCAAAAGGAAGGAACTCCCTTCCCTTCCATTCACTCAGTTTCCCTCAACTTACCTTCACCTCCTACAAATCCAAACAGGCCCTAAGTTTGCCCTGCATTCTGAGTCCCAGTTAGCTCCTCCTCTAATTTCTCGGTAAGTTGCTTTCTAATTGTAGCTGAGAGAGAGAGAGAGAGAATGGGAGACGTTTTGGCTGAGCTGGAGGAGGTCCTCCGCTCCAAGCGCACTCAGGTCAAATCCCCCCCTCCCCGTCCGACAATCTCAAGTTAGGGTTTCACATTATTAACGCAAAAACTTCAACTGCAGGATAAGATTACTCCAAAAGAGGAGTTTTTGCTGCAGACTTGCAAGGCCAGGGCGATTGGGGATTTCACTGTCGGAGCTCTGGCTTCGTCGGCCGTCGTTTGGATTGGTATTTCTTTCTTCCCGTATTTTCCCCATTGGGCGTTGCGCGTTTCTATTGAAGTTGCAGCAGCTTTCTTTCTTCAATAATCCTAAATCCAAACACGAACCCTCAACATATTAATCCCAGAATGTAGACCCGAAGATCTAAAACTTAACTGGAACCATGCTTCCCTTAAAACTTATGTTTTGAGGAATGATGGTGATATGGGCGCGTGGTGGTGGGGAATCGTGTTCAGAAAAGGTGCAAAATGGAAATTACGCATGTTGGGCCTCGACTGAAAATGCTTTTGAGGCACATACATGAAGCACGAAGGTCTATGAGGCATTGATGCATGAGTTTGGGAAGACGCGGCGTAATTGAAGCATATGTCCCATGCCTCTTTTTTTTTTTTTTTTTTTTTTTTTTTTTTTTAGGGG